TGTAAGTATAGAATAGGAGACACCTGTCTCAGCAGTAGTAACTTTGGGAAGGATCTAGGTGTCCTGGTAGATCACTACTTAAATATGAGTCAGCAGTGTGCTGCAGTTGCCAAAAAGGCCAACATAGTTCTAGGCTGCATCGACTGAGGGATAGCAAGATCATTGGAAGTGATAGTACCACTTTGTTCTACACTAGTGAGAAGAAGAGCAACAAAGATCATTAGGGGACTGGAGGTTAAAACATACAAGGAACGGTTGCTGGAACTGGGTATGTCTAGTTTAATGAAGAGAAGGACGAGGGGGGATATGATAACAGTATTCCAATATCTCAGGGGCTGCCACAAAGAAGAGGGAGTAAAGCTATTCTCCAAAGCGCCTGAAGGCAGGACAAGAAGCAACGGATGGAAACTAATCAAGGAGAGAAGCAACCTAAAACTAAGAAGAAACTTCCTGACAGTTAGAACAATTAACCAGTGGAACAACCTGCCTCCAGAAGCTGTGGATGCTCCAACACTGGAAGTGTTTAAGAAGAAACTGGACAGCCATCAGGGTTACCTGCCTGAGCAGGGGGTTGGACTTGATGACCTCCAAAGTCCCTTCCAACTTTATTATTATTATTATTATTTGGAATACTGCATCCAGTTCTGGTTACTCTGAAGCAAAAAAAGATGCTGAGGCCCTAGAAAGAGTGCAGAGAAGACAACAAAGATGATAAGAGATCTGGGGACTAAAACATATGATGAATAGCTAAGGAAACTAGGTATGTTTAGCCTAATGAAGAGAAGATTTGGGGAGACATAATAGCAGTCTTCCAATACTTGAAGGGCTATCACAGGAAAGAGCACAGCAATTTATTTTCCAAAGCACCTGAGGGCAGGACAAGAAGGAATGGGTGGAAGCTCGTCAGAAGGAGATCCTAGCTAGAAATAAGGAGGAATTTTCTGACAATGGGAACAATTAATTAGTGGAACAGCTTGTCTCCCAGAATTGTGGATGCTCCATTGCTGGAGGTTTTAAGACAAGATTGGACAATCATTTGTCTAGGGTGATATAAGGACTCCTGCCTTGAGCAAGAGGTTGAACTAGAAGACCTCCAAAATCTCTTCCAACTCTATAATTCTTTGAACCCACAAATCCATATTGAATAGACAGGAGACACAATGAAAGTTCTAAGCATGGTACAGCAGGGAAAACATGACAGAGCTGAGGCTTGAAAAGTTGTTCTCAATGTGTGGTCCTAGGGAGAAAGGCCAATTTATCAGCCACACTGAACCTCCACCCAGCAGGCAGCTGTGACCATTTCCTCCTCCACATTGGCTCTTCTGCAGACTCGTTTCTTGGCAACCTGTGTTATTTATGGACTTCTGCTCTCTGTTACTTAATTTTTATAAGACCCCTCTGCTTAAGTCATCGGAGTCTTAAGAGGCTGTTGATAGGTGCAAGCAAGGCATCCTCTGGGATTGTTGGGACAACTTCATCCAAAAATTGGCTCTACTACTACTAGAATAACTCATGCCAAGATTATTGTCCCTAGTTCAGTGTTGGGATTCAGCCGGTTCGCACCACTTTGGCAGAACCAGTAGCTAATTTTTTGTTGCCCAGGCCCAGAATGGACTTCCGGAAGCAGCATCCACATAGAGAACCGGTTGTTCACGTATTTGAATCCCACCACTGCCCTAGATGCCCCTGACTTTGTCTCCATATCTCTCAATCAATGGAAGCCATATCCAGCAGGGCCATAACAGGATCTATGTGGGCCTGCCATTCTTTTCTAATCATGTGTTGATGATTATAATGGTTGCCAATTTACTTTCAGATTCAGTTTCATAATGCTAGCTCGTACTTTTAAAATTGGGGCATCGTATGTCTAAAATCCTACACAAGTCATACTATGCTGGCTCATCAAAGAACATTGGGAATGTATACCATGAGTTTATTGTGACTGTTATCCCAGCTGCCAACTAAAGAAGGTGGGCATCTATATTGGACAGTTGTGATACAGGAAGATGCCGGAGGCTGATAATTAATGGCAATGCAAAGGCAAACTTTGCTTAAGATCTTCCAACAAAGATTAGAACTTTACAAGGAAAGAGAAATGCCAGATGTTCAAGTTGTTTTTTTTTTAAAAAAGGTGAAAGATAGAAAGAATATGACATGTTTGTGGTAGAGAAGATCTTGAGATTATCATGAACAAGAAAACAAACAAATGGATTTCAATAGAAATCAATCCTAAGTACTTACTCAAAGCACAAATGACCAGGCTGAAATTTTCATATTTATGCAAATAGTACACATTATACAAAAACATAGCTCTTTTCCCTTCCACTTTTACAGCGTATATTTCATACAGTTTTATGCAAGTAGTATACATTATACAAAAACAATAACTCTTCTCTTTCCTTTCCCTTTTTCCAGCATAGATTTCACATTTATGCAAGTACCGTAGTACACATTGTGCAAAAACATAGGATATTTTTGTAGAATGTGTACCACTATCATAAATATGAAATATACTATATGCTGGAAAAAGTGAAAGGAAAGAGAAAAAAAAGGGCAACCAGCTGCAAAGTGGATGGATTCACAATGGTGATAAATCCATTGGGGGACCTGAAGGACCAGTCTGGGGTCTGATCATTCCGGGGGCCGGGATATGATCGGACTCACGGTATGACTGCTTTATTTTATTGTTTTATCATTGTTTTAACTCTGTACGCCGCCCTGAGTCCTTTGGGATTGGGCGGCATATAAACACTGAAAATAAATAAATAAATAAATAAATAAATAAATAAATAAATAAATAAATTCCTGGAAGGCTCTAATTATATAGTACTAAGAGTCAACACCAACTAGATGACACATAATCAGTGTCTAAAATACAACCCTCAACCATACGAATTTGTTCAAAGTTTATGATCAGCTTGGAAGTCCTTTGCATTCCATTTCCAAGTGAGAGCAAATTGCTGGGAATATGGAAGAAAAAAAATGACTTCCTAGTTTTTCTCATAAGAACTGTTTCTCATGTGTATCTTTTTGTTAGGCAGGCTATTATTTCTTTTTAAATATACCACAGCAGTCTCAGTTTTTTAATTTAATTTTATTCCGTGATATGGATGTTTCTGATTCAAGTACTAGAGTTACTTGTACACTTTTGAATTCCTTATGTCTTGACTCAAGGTGGATAGGGAAGATATTTAGTCCTATCATATAATTCCCCATGAACCATTTTTGTATAAATTTTATTTTTAAGTACATAGAGTAAAATATATTGTAGTTAAAAATAAGGTAAGCAATAAAGGCTGCCCCTTTATTCTGCAGAACAGAAGGATTAAAGATTTCATTATTGCATAGGACTGTTTCAATACCTTTAAAAGTATAGTTCCATGTATGTATTGATTACTAAAGTGCTGCAACCATGCCTATTCTTTTTAACCAGGGCTTGAATGATTCTGAAAACAATTTGCTTCTACAAATAGCCCCATTAACTGAGCTTTAAATCACTCAAATTTGAAGTCCTGGAAGCTAGGATTGGAAAAAAATGAGCATTCAATTGCATCATGATACTGATGGCAGATAATTGCATCTGAGTAAATGCAATGCATTTGACACTTGATAAGCTACTGGATATTGTTTTTAAAGCACAAAGGAAACTTCCTTTCAGAAAGATATTCCAGGGCATATAAATGAAAAATACCTCACTGAAAACCAAGCTTATCCTTAACTAATTTTAGGTTGGGTTTAAGCATTGCTTGAGAAGAGATTGTTATTTAATGCAATTAATTTCAGTCAAAGGATCATTTTGGTAGTTCTAGGTTTTATATTTTGTTATGAAAAATTTATCATACAGTCATTGACAACAACATATAGAAAGCAAAATTCATTCAGTTACGAAACTGGTTTAGGAAATGATGTCACTGTGCTTATACTGGAAAACAAGTGTCTAGAACAGTGATGGCGAACCTTTTAGAGACTGAGTGCCCAAACTGCAACCCAAAACCCACTTATTTATTGCCCGGTGCCAGGTGGGCGTAGCCTACTGGGTGGGTGTGGCTGTGGTGGTCATGGCAGACTGGGTGGGTGTGCCAAGGTAGGTGTGGTCACCTCAATGTTGCTCGTGGGGAGGGATGCCTGTGGGGGCCGGGCAAGGTTGGGGGAGATCCAGGGGGGTCTCTGGCAGGTGGGGTGGTGGGTAGGAGGCTCGTCCTGCAGGGCGAGGCGAGGAAGAGTGGGGGTGCCATTATCTCAGGGCAAGGCAAGGCAGGGGCCAGGGCAGCTGCTGCCTGACACCACCGGCCCCCACACATAGAGGCCAGCGAGTGCATGGGGGCCGACAGTGTCCGTCAGCAGCCACAGCCTGCCAGCCCCTCGACTGGCGCACTCTTGGGCTCTGCAGCCCACCACCACCAGTTCAGAGAAGTGCCCATAGAGAGGGCTCTGAGTGCCACCTCTGGCACATGTGCCATAGGTTTGCCACCACTGGTCTAGAACAGTGATTTTCAACCTTAGCAACTTGAAGATGTGTAGACTTCATCTCCTAAAATTGCCCATCCAGCCATTCTGGGAATTGAAGAACACAGGTCTTCAAGTTGCTAAGGCTAAGAAACACTGGCCTAAGACATGACAATAGTTTTCCTGACAACACATACAAGAGATTTGTATCGCCTTCTTTGTTTGTGTTGCTTTTATTTTCTAATCTTGTGTAGTGCCCTAGGATTCTTAGGAGGTGTCACATCTGGGTATTCTCAGAAGGTGTCCCATCCACCTTTGCTTAACATTTTTAGATCAGCCAATCTATTATTCATACCTGTGAATTGTGCACTGTGAAATGTGAAGGAAAGGAAAGAAGCACATAGGCACAACATTGATGCTCAACCCAATAAATTATAATTTCTTAAATGATAGTTGATGAGACCATATGTTTATGTGTGAATTGGAATGAAGAGTTTGTGGCTTCTTATTGTATTCTGAGTATTAACAGCTTATATTGAAATTTATGTCTCTAGATGTTGATGAATGTTTGGATAACAATGGTGGCTGCCAACAGATTTGTGTCAATACTATGGGAAGCTATGAATGCCAATGTAAAGAAGGGTTTTTCCTAAGCGATAATCAACACACCTGTATCCATCGCTCTAATGGTAAGTCTCCAGTTCCTGAAGAATATGAATTAACCTTCAAACATACAGTATCAAAGCTATTACAAGACTGTTAGAAAATTTCTTGGTGTATTTTGAAATCTGGATTTTTAGACTTTTGGTGATCTGTTGTGGGCAACTTAGAAGGCATTGCAGCATTTATTTAAAGCTGGCCAGGTTTATACAACAAAGTGAGACCATTGGCAAAGCTTACTGGCACTTTACCTAGGCATGCCTGAAATGGGAAAATAAACCCAAATGTTGCTAAACTTGTGGGTCACCCACTAATTGCAGCAACATTGGGATCAGCAGATGGTTTCCAGCCAACTGGGTATTTCCTACATGGTGTATATTAGTATATCTCTTGATTCAGAGTAACTATATTTAAGAGCTCATGACATTCAGTATTTTAATCCATCAACTTACTTTTCTAGCCTTTCAGAATAGAAATTTAGGTTGAGCGATGAAAGAAAAATGTAAGATGTCCAAACTACTAGTAGTGCTGATAAAAGTAAACTTGTCAAGAAAATATATCAGAATTACATGTCTTTTAGTTTGTAGCACATTTCTTGACCAACCCAAATCCCAATGAATTCATTAATTTAATTCATTCAGTGAGGTTATACAATTAATTTATCATATCAGCTAGTTATGGTATTGCAAAATTTGAATGTGTTTGATTTAAAGTCTTTAAACAAAGTGATTTCCACATGCTAAATAGTGATTCCCACTATTTCCCATTATACAGTAACTGTGTCTGAGAAAGAGGTGAATCCATACCAAACATTAGCAGACACTGTACATTATTTGATGATGTGACATTACAATGAGCATGGGGCATTTCACAATGAATATTAATATGAGTTTTAACAGAATTGTGACATCTTACATTGATTTTGCTTTCCCCTTATCACACTGCCATGAAAGAGAAAACAAAATCATGAAATTTGTTGACTACTTTGATTCTTTTGCCTTTAATACATCATTTTGAGAATTTAACTTTATTTTGGATATGGATAAAGTATCTTTGAAATATGTCAAAAGTCTCAAAGATTAGAGGAGCTTGGTCCAGACACCAAGAAACTTCAGTATCATCTTTCATGTATTTGTATGGCTGGTCTGGAAAGCTTTAGTTCTAACTTAGTAACTATCCTTAGTCTGGATTGTAAATCTGATTGCCAAAATATGTATCTCTGACATGCTAATTTAATAATTTCTCAAGCAAAAGGGGGAGGCAGTTAGTTAGAAAAAAGGCTGCTCCTAAACTGCTAAAAGGTAACACCAGGATAATTATATACAGTTTTTCTGGATTTGGGCCTACACTTTTGCTCTAAAAGAGAGCCAGTTTGGTCTAGTGGTTAAGGCATGAGACTAGAAAGTGGAAAATTGTGAATACAAGTCCCACCTTAACTATAAAAGCCAGATGGGTGACTTTTAGGCTAGTCATTCTCTCTCAGCCCAACCAATCTCACAAGGTTGTTGTTGTTGTGGGCAAAATAGGAGGAGGAAGTATGTTGGATATGTTTGCTGCCTTGAGTTATTTGTAAATATAATAAAGGCAGGATACAAATAACTAACAAAATAACAACCACCACCACCACCTATATATTCAGACGTTACCTTAACAGCTCTTAGACTCTTGGTCAGGACTTGAACTGTTAACTTTTTACCATTCCCACCTGTGAATCAATTAAAATTAAAAAGATTAAAATTTTAATAATAACAACATCAACAACAATGATGATGATGATGATGGGAATGGGAATACAAAGTGGATCAAGCAGGTTGAAAGCACTGTAAAAGTGACTAGAATGGAAGATATTCACATTACAAAAGAAATGATGCAAAAACAAGCAAAGAGGGTCAAGAACTGGAGTGCCCCTTGTTTAGATGAGCTGTGTGGATTCTAGTTGAAATCACTAACAGGTTTTCCTCCAAGATTAGCAAACCAGATGAATCAGGTTCTGGAAACACCAGAAAGTGAAAAATGGTTAACAACCGGAAGAACTCTTTTGATTCAGAAGGATGCAGAAAAGGGAAATAAACCTGAAAATTACAGGCCAATCACTTTCCTGCCAACAACACACAAATTATTTACAGGCCAAATTTATGGATATCTCGAAAAGAAGAACTTGCTGCAAAAGGGTGCTGCAAAAATTCAAGAGGAACCAAAGACCAACTGATGATTGATAAACTGGTTTTGAAGAATTCAAAGAAAAGATGATGGCGTGGATTGATTATAAGAAAGCATTTGATTCTGTTCCACACAGCTGGATTGAGAAATGCTTAGACATTTTTGGAATTAGCAGCAACATCCAGAAATTTCTGAAGACTTCCACGAGCTATGGCAAACTGTTGATGGCCTGTGGAGAAGAACTTGGTGAAGTTGAAATCAAATGAGGACTTTTCCAAGGTGACTCATTGTTATTTCTACTTTCGATGGCACCACTAACAAGCATTTTGAATAAGACAAGGAATGGCTATGAATTGGCTAAAAAAGGATTGAAATTTTCCTGTTTCACTATAGCACGTGGATGATTTAAAGTTGTTTGGAAAAACAAAAGCTGAATTGAGCTTACTACTGAAAAGCACTGAGAAGTTTAGTAGAGACATTGAAATGGAATTTGGCATTTGACAAATGTGCAACAATTGCTGTTAAGGCAGGAAAAATTGTTCAAGATGATGAATTCAAACCTGATAATCAAGAGTTGATAAAAGTTGATAAAAGCTGTAACACCAGAACAAGGGTACAAGTACTTAGGAGTTTTGGAAGCTTCTGACCTGTTGCACAATCCAGTCAATGAAGCTACGTCAACAAAATATATAAAATACATAATACATAAATATATAAAGCAAGCCTGGAAAATCTTGCGTTCAAAGCTGAGGGGAGGAAATACCATAAAGGCAATTAACACCTGGGCAGTGTCTGTAATATGACAGTCAGCTGCAATAATTGATTGGACTCAGCTAGAAGTTGACAACTTGGATCGAAAGACAAGAAAACTAATAACAATGCACTATGCTCTGCATCCAAAAATTGATATTGATCTATCGTACTTGCCAATCTCTCAGGGTGGCAGATGACAAACCGTAGAAGAGGAAAAACACAGCTTAAATGACTACATGAAAAAAGCCAAAGAGCCTTTGCTGAAGGAGATGAACAAGGGAAAAATAACAAGATTGAAAGCAGAATATTGAAAGGAAACAATTGAGCATCGAGTTTCTAATTAAAAAAAAAGAATATTTCCTAGTTTTAGTGTACTCACCAGTAGCCCTACCTTCACACTGGAACCTCTGGTTCCATACAATGATACTCTGTCATTTACAGTAAAGAGTATTTGAGATTTAGGAACATGCATCTCAAACTTTAATACCTCAGCTATTAATTTAGCAAATAGCAAAGGAGTATCAGGTCAACTGTGGGGCAATCCCAGTTGTCTGTGAGACCGTGCTTCAATTGTGAATGCTTGAAATAGGTTGCAAGAACTGGCTTATAGGAAAATTAGTGTGGTGGACGTAGAGATGGGAGTGTGGGAGGTCCAAATGATTGAGGCTTCTTTGTACTTCCAGGCTTTTGAAAGGTACCAATTAGCAAACAACAAAATGATAGTAATGAAATAATAAGGGATGGCAAAAATAAGTACAGGTTGCATTCAAACTGCACCAGAAAAAAATATATTCTGAATATAACAATAATTTGAACCAAGTCATGATTATGATCAAAGAGGAAAGTTGATGATAAGTATTATGATCTGCCTGTGAATTTCTAACAGGCTGGTAAGGAGTGTAATTGTTAGTCAACAAAAAATAGGACTGGAATATTCTTCTCAAAATAACCTTTAACATAGTGGCCAGCCATCAGCTTGATAGGCAGCATCTGTGTGCAGTAGTATATATTTATATAGATGCACAGAAATCTGTATAAGACTCTCACGCATGACTACATTTTTTAAATACTGTAAATACCACTGAGAAATGAGACTAAAATTTTAAACTCATGAAAATGGCAGGATTTTTACTGTTTTTAGGAAATGTAATTCTTGTGGTCAAAGACCTCTTTGCCGTCAAAACCCAGTAACTTCCATTAAATCTGCAACAGTTAGGCAATTCAATAATTGCCTGTAATTATTAATAATAATTCAAGGAAACTATAAGACAATCCTCACTATTACTAGATGAGAGATGAGCATTTTGTAAGCAAAGAGTTTGCTCCAGGCACAAAGAGTTCCACCTACTCACTCAAGAGTGGGAAGAGGTTTTAAGCCAATTTCTCACCTGTGGTCACTGTCAGATGTGGGACCTTCAATTCCAAGAATTCCTAAACAGATCAGGTTGAGAAACACTCATTTAAGCCCTTAAGAAAATAAAATCAGCACTGATAATCAGTTATGGGGATGAGGAAGATCTGACTTATCAGTAGTAATCATGAAAGGGATCTGGATATCATTCATCTCTTGCATTGCAAAATGGGTGTATTAATTTAATATATAAATAAGCCAGGATAATTATTTTATTGTGCACATTGTAAAAAAAAAGCAATTACTGTAGGATGTTAGGAGACTTCAAGATTATGGAGTAAAAGGGATGTTGTAAGACATTTGGTAAAAATATGGATGGTTGAAGTCGAAGTTGTCTGTTGTGTTCTACTGTTCTATAATGAAGACATCTGCAATAATATTTATATAGTGAGCTTAATTTATATCAGGCAGGTTCAGCCTGTGGCCCGTGGGCACATGCCACCCTGGACAGTTAGCAATGCAGCCCCACAAGATAATTAAAAAAATATAAACAACAATGGAAGTTTTCTATTTATATACATTAACTATATTAGATATTTTATATGTGGCCCAAGACAATGCCTCTTCACTCAGTGCAGGCAAGCCAAAAGCTTGGATAACCATGATTATTTATATAAAGAGTACCATACTTGGCCAAATAAATTGCTACAGTCTTTTGTATCAGTTTTGTTTTTTATATAAAAAGATACAATCTTTTGAAAAGGG